GCCCTGTTGAAAACACCCCCACATTTGTTACAGTCAAAAGCTATTAAGTAACGTTCCTAAGCTGTCCGTAATGTCTAACGGTGTTCACCTTTCACCTGCATCATACACCTACACGGAAGATTGAATTTAGAACTGTATGGTAGATACTGTACAGCATATGTACAATACTTAAGTGTGTATCTTTTTTTTTCATTTTTATTTTAAAATCTAAAAATTGACCAACATTGTTTAAAAATACACTACTGGGAAAAAAAACAAAAACAAGAACTTGAAACTTTTTAAAAAGTTTTAACTTCTTTTAATTTGAGCGCTGTGTTTTTAGAACGCTGTGTCATGTGCAAGACGCGTGTTACATTTGTAACAATGTTCATCTAGCACGTTTACATAAAGAAACAATGTAAAAGTATAGCGCAGTGGAATGGAAAAATGCTTTCTGTGTGAACAGCCCCTAAACTTTCTGTTTCTGGAGCTAATGCTGCAGCTATTGCAGTAGGCTATTTGTTCACTTCTGTGGCTCTGAGACTGAAGAACTAAGATAAAAGATCAGAACAGCAGAGAGTCTGCACTGCTACCAGTATTGTGTAGGACATAAAGTACACAGTAGCACACAAACAAGCTATTAATGGAACATGAACTGAGACCCTTGCCACTGCATTGCTGAGAGAGTGTCTGCAACATGTGTGCACATCTAAGGTGCGAGCATATTTCTATATGTGAACAAATAAAAAAATAAAAAATCATTGTACACTTTCCATATATGTCAATACACATTTTTGTTTGTTTTCATTAGTTAAAATATATTTTTTTTGTAGTAATCAATCACGTCACTCGTATTTGACCTGGAGTACAAACAATTAAGTAAAATAAGAGTGTTAAAGAAGGTCTATGTAATTTAAAGAAGAGCCTTTCTAAAGCCCACAATTAGTTTTTAGTTTTTATGAGGTAGAATGTGTAATACCGAGATAAAAAGTGACTCACCCCTTTTTCTGGTCTTAAACCGCTGGCCTGTAAGCACTGGCTTCTGTTGCTTACCGGTATTCATAAAAGTCCTTCACATGCAAAGAAACAGACATAAAATATAATCAAATCAGCAACAAAAACATAGATGACCCATTTTGTGTACTATGACAGATCCATTATTAAAAAAGCCCCACAAGACAAAACAATGAAACAACTCCTGACCCAGTAATCTGTGCTTTACCCAACACTACACCCTCCTCTCACACACCTCGTTTATAATAGCGCACTGTACTAGGGAGGAAAAAAAAAAGCTCGCGATCTAAAAGCTCATCAGCTGAGAGGTCCTCTTCAGCACGCAGCGAGTGCTCCAGCAGAAAACCAGTGCTCCGGCAAGCCTTTCGCTGCCCTGTGCTAAATATAGAGGGGCTCATCCCCGACAGTGTAAACTTCAGTCACCCAGGTCTGGGACACGTGTCGTATTACAGCAAGGACATGTCTGATCACAGTTTACAGCCCTCTGCATGTGTGTGTGTGTGTGTATACAAGCAGACTCACAAATTATACACACGTGCAAACATACACAAACAAAGTCATCATTTTCCATCAGCTGCCTCAACAACATACTGACGCTCAGAGTGACAGAGTGAAGGTTAAGATTGTGTAATCTTATGACAAGAATCTACACAAAAAAAAAATGGGGTGAATAAAGGCAGCTGTTATGAGCTCTGCATAACCAGCAAAACCAAAAAAAAAGAAAAAAAAGATACTTCATGTACTATATTCCTTTATGTTGCAGTTCACAGGTCAGAATTGTGAGAATGATTTGTGATAGAAACATGAGTTACAACGGTATAATATAATATAATATAATATAATATAATATAATA